GGGGGGGAGGGGGGGGGTAGTAAAGCATTCCCTAATAAAGGCGACTCCATACCCAGGGACTCGAACTCGAAACGTCTGGTTAAGGATGAAAGAACACTTACTACTCCACCACAACCCTTGTCGGTAGCGTCTTAGCAAGTGATTACATAAGCTTTTTATTATTTTATACTCCTTTCTCGTAAGCTTTTATTTATACACAATGACTGCACCTAATCAACTAATACTACGCCACATTCGAGGAAAAAACCTAATACAATGCAATCGAATATTCTAACTCCAACTGCTAACTGAAACTTGCTTATTATATTTTTAAGGTAACTGCTTGGCAACTCGATCACATGCAGCGTCTAACTTCCATTTTAACTTTCTATTTTTTATTTTTTATTTTTAGGTTGGAAAAAGCAATACCTCTTCACCTTTTGAATTGGCAATTAAAATCCCCTCTCTACCTCAAAGTAATAGGCCGACTGAGATAATAATAATTGGTGGAATCTTAAAAGGTAAAAAACGACCCTCAATTAGTACTGATTATGACATATATTTTTGAATAACTAAGCATAATTAAGTGTAGTATATATTGTACATAATAAAAAGCTATAACTTTCTTTTTTCTCCTTTAGTTTTTTCTTTTGATTTTCAAAAAATTTGATATAAAACCAATAAAATTGATGAAAATAATGAAGCGATAATCTACTTGTAAAACCAAGCATTATCGCGATTCTGAAAAATGCAGAAGCAAATACCATGCATAGATTTATTTGTTTGTACATTTTCAAGCATTGTCAGTTATACCATCGAGTAATTTAAAAAAAAAAAATTTTTGATTGAATCATCCCCTAAATAATGGGTTTAGGTCATATTTATAATAGGTTCCAATCTATATATGTTATGTAGAGAGTCACATGTAACTCATATTAATCATCTTTGAAGCAATTTGATTGCATGCATAAATATTTTTAACATCGTTAGTCTCTCTCTATATATATGGAGCTTAGGTTATAGATATAACTCCCTCTATCCTAATATATATATAACATACGTTCCTTTTTAGTATGTCCCAAAAAGAATGATATCCTTTTATATTTAACTTTACGCTTCTAATTTACCATTAATAAAATTATTTATAGCCACACAAATATCTATAATTATTTTATATCACAAATTTCAAAAATATTTGTATGTTTATTAAACTTCGCATCCAATCAAATTACGCCATTTAAACTAAAACAGAAGGAGTAATAAACTTTAAGTATTGAAGCAATATATATAATCCTAATTATAAAAAGTAAGCATATTCATCCTGCCTTGGCAGTTCCATAGAAAGTCATGTTGGTCACTGCGTTCTCCCTGAGTTGTATCATTACAACTCCGTCCGTTTTTACTTATCTACAATGGATTTTGCACTTTTTAAAAAAAATAATAAATGAAGTATATCTTTCTACTATAATACCCATAATAATGATAGTATTTTTAAAAGAAATTAAAAATAATGTAAAAAAATAAGTAATTAAGAATAAGGATAAAACAAGATTTTTTTTTCATCTTTTTCTTAATTTGTTAAAATTAACAAGTAAAAATAAAAATATATTTTAGTGTAGTGGTGAACCGAAGGGTAATTAATTATGAGATGGAAAACGCCGTATTTTCCATTTTATTTAACCCTTAAAAAAAACAACGCTGTCAAGCTCGTGGAAGTGTTGTAGAAACCTCCACGAATCCAACATATACGCTCTCATAAGATGACCTGAAAATTCCTATTGACACGTGTCCCAACTGTTGACTTGAAATGATCAATTTCCATCACCACATTTTCCACTTGTAAACTAACTGTATCTCTTTGACTAACTCTTTTTCTTTTGACAAACTTAACCATCAAGGAAACAACATTGTCAAATTATCCTAATTAATTAATAAACCATCACGTTTTCAGAAACATGCAAGCTTGGGCTCAAACCTATATATAGGTGAAGCAAAACAACCCAAGTCCAAGTGTATCATAAACCTCTTACTTCTAATTAAGTTCTCACATTTCTCTCAAAGTTCCAAACTTAGTATACAAATAGAAATCTTCATTCTTTTTCTCCATTAATATTATGAATGCCATGAAAAGAAGCAGAGAAGCGGATTTGCAAGTGGAAGCAGAAGCCATGGCTAACTGCGCCTTATTGCTATTGTCGACTTCATCAAATGGTTTCGAATGCAAGACTTGCAATAAACGGTTCCCATCTTTTCAAGCGCTCGGCGGCCACCGTGCAAGTCATAAACGGCCAAAATTACTCGGAGAGTTTCTTGTTCAATCCAAAAAGAATAAAATGCATGAATGTTCTATCTGTGGTATGGAGTTCTCTTTGGGTCAAGCCTTAGGTGGACATATGAGGCGTCATCGTGATGAAATTAATAAAACGTCGACAGCAGCCGGAAAGACGATGATTCCGCTCGTCGGAACGAAAATAATACCGGTGTTGAACAAGTCAAATAGCAGCAAGAGGATTTTCTGTGCCTTGGACTTGAACTTAACCCCTGATGTAGATCTCGATTTGAAGCTATGGTCGACCGCACCCGTTTCATCTCCGATTTTGCGATGTTTTTTTTAAGTCCCTTTCATTGTTGTTCTTGTAGGATTAGGAGAAGCTAAGATGTAGTTGATTTGTTCATTCTTTTCGAGTTGTACCCTTTGTATATTTCCTTAATTCTTTCACATGACATGGTATCAAAACATAAATTTATTTATCATTTATCTATTTATTTATTTATGTCCTTAGTGTTCCCTCACGTATCAATCTGATTCTTTTTCCATAAAGCAAGTACGTGGTACTATTTGTTTATTTATATGATATAGCAAGAACTCAAAATCTCTACCTACCTGTTTTGATATCATATTAAAGTGTGTGCATTTTGAATGAGGTGGTCACGCAGACTTCCATTTATAGCTTAACTGTTTAACCAAAAAATGTGTATTTCGGTCAAAGCCTAATTTTAAAAGAACTCGGGTTAGTAATAACCAAGGAATTTCGTACTTTCTCAATTATATGAAAGGAAAAGACAAAAATAAGTAAAGAAATAATTGATTGCAAAGTCAAGATAGCAGAAAAGTAAAGTGAATATATTCCAATATTGTCTCAGATGATCCTTACAAATGAAATTCTCTTCCCTTTTATAGGGGTTTTACAAATATAACGTTTCCTCCCTTTTATGGCCGAATCATTATGACATTAATGACACTAATGATCCGTTATAATTGACAATCGTAATTATTTGTGGAGATTCTGTCACGGTTCCAATTCTTCTTCATCATTAATTAGAGGTTCGTGAATCTTCCCCTTCTTACTGTCTTGATTCATTCAGCCCATATTTACTGAATGATTTAGACTCGAGCAACTGCATCCTTTCCTCTCGTGAGTGATTTGCTCATGCCTTTTGTATCTCGTGCATCTTCTGATGCAATATTCCAGTTGTCATCTTCTTAGTGATCCACGTATCATGCTTTGTCATCCACACATAATTCCACGTGTCATATTTATTTTCTACTAATACAGATAGTCCCCCCACTTGCCGAATATTCTGCAATTGAATATTTGGGAAGTGGTATGTATTTATGGCGGGAATTTTTGCCGCCGTTTCCCATGTATCATTATGTCTTCTTTAGAATCAACGCATCGTATGTCACTTCAATTTAATGCATATGCCATGTGGCTTCCGCCGATGGGTCTGCGACTCTTACGTCAGTCACGAAGTGACTACTTCATTATGACGTTTCCATCATGACTCACTTTACATGACGATTGCTCCTTCTTACAAATGCCCCATGTGCCTTTAGTTTCACGAAAACCTTCAATCTACAGTATCCTTCTTGTATAATTATTCTTATTCTTCAGTACACATTACTTTCTTACATCCATGTCTTCACCAAACCCCAATTCTCGCAGAACAATCATTATAGATGAACTTCCTCCTTCAACTACTCCTGTTAGGAGTAGAAGAGGCGGTAGGTTACATAGCTTAGGGTCTTTATCTGTCCGCGGTTCTACCTCTCAGCCCAACATTGTTACCCCTTCTTCATCTAGGGCTAGGGCTCCTTCAACCCATAGATCTTCTGCCAAAAATAAGGAATTAGGTGAGCCCTACGAGAACCAACAGTTGATGAAATTCCCTACGGAATTTTCTTTCTCCACTGATCATGAATCAATTATAAACCAAGTTACTTCTATGACTTCCCATGATCGTGTCGATGTCTATCCTTCTCATATTACTGATGGTTTGATTTCTCTTGTGCGGAGAGAATGCTACTGGAAACATGATTTTCCAATTTTAATTCCTGGTCCAAACCAAAGGATAACTTCGTACCTGGCTGGTTACTCTTTCGTTTACACATACCCTTTCACTTTAGGTTTCAGACCCCCTATTGACCCAGTTATCACAGAATTATGTTGTTTCTTCAATGTTTGCTTAGGACATATTGGTCCTATTGTATGGAGAATTGTTGCATGTTTATGATACCTATCTAATTTGCCTCTTTACCCTTCACATATCAACATTTGCTTCATCTGTATTCCCCTAAGTTGTTCCGCTCAAGGGTTTTCACTCTCGTTGCCAGGAGTAAAAGGGTTTTGGTTAGCCTTGAAGATGATAAAAACCGTGGCTGGTATGCCTGTTTTGTTGCTGCACCCACAAGTGGTTTAGTGGGTGAAGAGAATATGCCTTTTCCAGAGAAGTGGAATTTTGCACGTAAGTTTTTTTTACATCTTTCTTCTCTTATGAGGGATGAAAAAAACCGACGATCTCATGGATTTTTTCTCTTTTCAGCAACCATGGAAGTTTTTGATGAAATTCCAAACTTCCGTATTTGGGTAGAGAAGATGTTATCGGTTGCTCTCATGGAAAGAAGATCTTGAAAATACCTTTCCCATAGGTTTGGCTTAAAATTCAAAACTCATAGTATCCTTTCCTTTAATTTTCTTCCTTTCTTTCGTATTTACTTGGAGATTTCTAACTTTTTCCTTTGTTAGGTTTACCCATTCGAGATGTCAGTGCCGCGTCTATTACTTCATCACGGCTTTCTTTGTCTCTTACTCAAAAAATTATTTTGAATTCCTCATCGAAGAGAAAAGCTGAGAGAGCTCATGGCTCTGAAGGTGAAGAGGAACGGGAAGAAGGTTCCTTAGTGCGCAGGCCTCGGGCTAGGAGGCGCGTTATTTCGGATGATGAAGTCACCCCTCCTCCTAGTTCAGTTCCTGTGAATGAACCTGAAAGTGTCGTTTTAACGAGCTCTGATGAAGAGATGAATGTTGCACCTCGTGACTCTATTGATCAATTGTTTTCCCGTGGGTTTGATAATGAAGATTTTGACCTTGTTTCTGATGAAGCACATCTCGCCTCCTTTCCAGTGTCTGCTCTTATTGGTTCTCAAATTCTTGCTCCTGTCGTTGTTGTTACTACTCCTCCCGTGGCTATTTTCACTTCCTCAACTGTCCCTACTACTACCACTTCACGTGTTGAAGTTGGTTCTTTAAGTAGCAATAGGATGATGAAAAATTTACCATTGAAGTCCCCGAGGATGGTAATCTTTTAAAAAAGTCTGGCCAAGCCGATGTATGGCTAAAACCTTTAATTGGCCCAGTTGAGAAATCTAAGTTGGAAAACCACAACTCTTTAACATGGATGAATGATATTGTTCATTCATCTTTGAAGGTAAAAGCCTTAGTTTTTTTTACTTCCCTCATGATTTTTATCTTTTTTTGATAATCACTTCCTTCCTTTCTTGTGAAGATCAATCTGATAGGCACGAAGCTTATGAAGAGAATTGCCAATACTGAGCAGCTAGTCAACAATTATCGCACGGAGGCAGATAACTGGAGGGAACAATGTTCTTCAGCTGGAAAAGGAAGTTTTGGATGAGGAGAAGTGTGCTTTGGAACAACAAATACAAGTGATGACATCAGAATTGGCAATTGAAAAAGCCTCTTCCAGTCAAGTGGGCAAGGAAAAAGACATTCTTGAGTCTTCATTCGCGAAGCAGCTTTCTAAAGTTATCGAAGAAATTAGAGGTTTGAAAGATTTGCTTAATCAGAAGGAGATTTATGCCGGGGAGCTTGTTCAAACACTCACACAGGCCCAAGAAGACCTCCGTGCAACTTCGGACAAGGTCCAGTTCATGGAGAGATCATTCGCCCATTTGAAGGCTTCTTATGATGCTTCTTTGGCTGAAAGAAAAGAGTTGGAGGCTGAAATTGAGCAATGGGAAAAAGATTACGAGGTCCTTGAAGATAAAGCAACTCTTGATGTAAGTTGGGCTTTTTTGAATATGCGCCTTGAGACTTTGATGGAGGCTAGCCAGGAAGGCTTTGACTTGACTGCTGAGATTGCAAAAGTTAAGGAAACTATTGAAAAAACTCAACAACGTCAGAACTTTTCCTCACTCGAGGTCGGCGTTCCCGAAGGTGATGAACTTACTCCTGGTGAAGTTGATGCTCAAGCCTCTTCTGCTCAAGTTGTATCTTCTCCCATTGCTGTTGATGCCTCATTAGATTCTGCCTCTCTTGCTGCTGATAGTACTGCTTTAAATCCTGCCCCATAGTGTTCTGTGAACTTTTTGTTGGGAAGTTTGTTTCTTTTTTTCTTTTTGGAATAATTGGCAAGTTTTTACCTCCGGTTTGTTTTGGGGTTTATTATCAAAGTCCATGGTTTTAACTAAGTTCATACTTAGTTTTGGCCAAGTTTAATATATATAATATTTCGTTGGAGTTTTTGTTCTACTCTTTAATTTGCATTTAAAAATGCTTTAGTATTTCACGATTCTTGAATAGACACGAATTTTTATCAAAGAGAGCCCTTTTATGAACGACACTAATGAAGAAGACATCCCAACTTCATATTGGTGTAAACATATGAAAGAAGTAGGAAAATACATATTTCAAAGAAATGTCGTGAATAATCTGAGGAAGTTTTGTATTTTGAACTTTCAAATTATATAACACTTTACATGTATTCAAGTAACTTTTGTATAACATCTACAACTCTTTCATAACTGTTTTCTTTATAACAGATTTCACAAATTTCTAGGGTATATTTTGCAACCCATCTAAACATTGCCTTTAACCTTAGTGCTCGTAGGATCTTATAATTTATGTCCGCGAGTTTACACTTTATGAAAGCTTAATACAAAAGGTTTTTGATTCAGACTTGTTTTCTTGGCTCTTCATTGGCTCTTGACTTTTGATTTTTGGGTCGATCCAGGCTTGAACTGACTTTTAGTCTTCTTTCTTCTTTGACTTGCAGTCTTCTTTGCCTACTACCTATAGTCCCCCAAGTGTTAGAGTTTTGAAGTATGAAATCTCGAGCACTTGATCATTCCTTCCATTTGGTCCATTTCCTCAAAAGGAAAATACACACGGGACTCGGAGGTATAATTTTAGTTGATGACTGCTTAACCCTTTTTATTCCATCAGAAAGATTGTAACCCAGACAGGGGATGATCTTGCATCCCGCGTATCTTTTAGGTCTAAAATCATTATTTGGTCTGGGCTAGATTTGTGCCTATCATCTAAAATGGTTAGTATACTTAAAAAAGAATAAATCTAAACCTTGCATAAACGATACCTGACCGTGGGTTTTCCCTTTCAGAAGTAATACTTCTTCAAATAAACAGCATTCCAATTTGATGGGAGTACTTTGCCGTCTATTGTTTCTAACTCATATGCGCCCTTTCCAGCAATACCTCGAATCCTGTAAGGTCCTTCC